AATTAAAGAAGTAATTGCCAATGATTACGAAATAGTTTGACGGAAGCGAACTCTAACACAGTAATGATTAGCGAGATAAGATCTATTGTGGATATACCAAATTAATTAATTGTTTAATTACCAAGTATGCGGTGGAATCCCGATTTCTCGAACCCTCATTTTCTCGAACCTCCCGGTAACTCGAACCAAAAGTCGTTCTCCTCACTCAAACACTGTGATTTTACCCCCGATTTCTCGAACTACCCGATTTTTCGAACCAAATTTTCGTTTCCCTTGGAGGTTCAAAAAATATCGGGATTTCACTGTTAGAGCGGTTTTCAATTGAGTGTCGAAAATAATCATTTAATTACTCGCAATTACTCTGCACAAAATGTGTCAAAATGTCAGTCCTGTCCAGCAATATGAATGATTTTACGCGACAGAGAAGTGATAACTCGCTCTAAATTTGCATAATTTTAACTACAAGCATCTTTCGCCAAGTGGCCGGTTTTTTTCAACCCTCTCGTAATATTAAAAACAGGTAAAGCAGGTTGTCTCGGTTGGAACAAGCCCAAGAAGACCAGTGTTAAAGTAAAAGAGACAAAATGTCGTTTTAGATCATATTAGCCCAGATTTATTTTTATGCAAATAAGGCACACTTTTGCAAATCAACGCTCCTTCCCCATTAAACAAGACATCCTTCGGAGTGCTTTCTATTCGACTAAAAATCCAGTTTAAATTTTGGTTAAAAAAGGCGATTTTCCATTCAACCAAAACTTCAGGAAATTTCAAAAGGAGAAGAAATGGTAAATAAATTTCTTGCGAAAGTATCCAGAAAATCCGGAAAATGTTGAACCATTCAACCGAAAATTGAGGAAATTCCGGAAGGAAAGTAATTCCCAGTAAGAAATTTCGAAAATTTTGGTATACCTCGCAAGGTTGTCCTCTTTTACGGAAATTCCGGAAAATCCCGTTCCATTCGTCACTGGAAATTTCTGCAAAAAGGCAAACCGAATGTTTTTTGTCGAATGGAGAGCATCCGAGAAGACATGGTAGGGAAGTTTCTTGCGAAAGTTTTCAGAAAACCGGAAATTGTTGAATTTCTGAAATGCGAACCATTCAACTGGAAATCCCGGAAATTCCAGGAGGAAAACCAAATGGAACGGAAATTCCCGGTAAAAAATTTCTGCGGAAAATTTCGGTATACCTGCAGCTGATCGGGGCTAAAACACAACACGAGTACATACGAGTAACATACGGGTACATACGAGTACATACGAGTACATACGAGTACATACGAGTACATACGAGTACATACGAGTACATACGAGTGACATACGAATACATACGAGTAACATACGAGTACATACGAGTAGCCTACGAGTACATACAAGTAACATACGGATACAAACAGACGCATACGGTAACATACAGGTTACATACGAATACATTGGTTACATACGAATACATATATATATATATATAGGAGCAACATACGATGGCAGGAGGGTAAGAAACACGAAATGTACCATTTTCTTGTTCCATTACATTTTTATACGTGCGCGGGTCATTACATTCATTCAAATGTCCATTGTATTTTTACACACACACGCGAGCGCGCGCAACTGCCACACACGCGCGGGCACCACACCCATACACGTGTACCACACACACACAAGCAAACCTAAAGCGGTCTTCACACGGCAAACTTAAGTTGGCAAACTAGTGTTGGCAAACTTCAAAAAGTTG